TCTTTCAATATTTCTAAAGCAGAATCTTTCAATATTTCTAAAGCAGAGGTTGACATACCGTAGATAAGCAAGGGCTGAAAGTAATAAAGATGAAGTCATCAGATCAGCCATGATCTTAATGAACAGCAAAACAAGTTCAAGGGGCTAAGTGAGTGTCTACTCCTGCTCCTAGTTCTTACATTTGTAAATAAGCATAATGTGTAGGTAGGCAACGGCCTTGTGGTATAATCGCTGGACTGTTAATCCAGAGACCCAGGCAACGTTCTGGGGACCTGGGTTCAAATCCCGCCACAGCAGATGGTGGAATTTGTATTGAATGCCTGGAATTAAGGGTCTAATGACAGCCCTCTGGGCGCTTAGGGAGGGGCAATAAATGCTGCATAGCCAGTGACGCCTGTGAATGAATAACAAAAAAGTATCCTTGTATGACACCAATAACAACAAAGTTTAATGAGCAACATAAAATTGCACACCAATTAGTTAATATAGTGACCAGCAGCTGCAATACATTCCACATACGGTCACAAGAAATCTCAAGGAGGATACACTCTCCCATGGGGGCGGCCTGGTGGCTTAGTGGTTTGTACCGACGCCTCACAGCTCCAGGATGCACCGGTGTTGGGCTGGGGTGAACAAGTCAAAAGTCACATGACATGTGGCTACAGTCCAACAGGTTTATTTGAAATCACAAGCTTTTTGAGCACTGTCCCTTCATCAGGTAAAGTGAAGAGAGCACCCAGGCACGGACTTTATAACCAGAGAGATCAAATGATCATACAAATGGTGTGATTCAACCTCCGATGTTTGGTTAAGCGCCCTCTAAGATGGCCTTCAAGGTACACACAATGCAGAATCACTCAGCAAAAACTGATAGCCAAGTTCCGTACCCATGAAGACGGCCTCAACCATGATCTTGGGTTCATGTCATTCTATATGTGACCCCTCCATACTGTTTTGTAAAATTGTTCTTACTGTACTGGTTTGACACCATCACCTTGATAACTTGTTATGATCTCCCTACCTTAATTACTTTGTACAGTTTTGGATTACTCGTTACTTTGGTTAGACCCTCAGCATGCAACTTCAGTCGTTTAGTCTGTCTCCAGCACCTTATTTTTAATTTTTTGTAATTATCTCTCTGCCTCAATTAAGTAAATTATGAATCATCCCATCAATTGTTATTCAGCTGTTGACACTTTACTCACACCGTCTGACACTTTTGATCACCTGCAGAGACTTACCATTTGGCCTGTCAACACTCCACTCACACCATCTGTATGATTTTTTGATCTCTGATTATAAAGTCTGTGCCTGGATGCTCTCTTCACTTCACCTGACAAAGGGGCAGCACTCTGAAAGCTTGTGATTTTAAATAAACCTAGGTAGATCGGCCAGCTAAATTGTCCTGTACTGTCTAGGGATATGCAGGCTAAGTGGATTAGCCATGGAAAATGCAGGGGTCAGTTACAGATATAGGATGGGATGCTCTTTGGAGGTTTAGAGCCAATTCAATGGGCCAAATGCTCTCCTTCTGCAATGTAGGGATTAAAGGGCACCTGGACAAGGACAATGCTGCAGAAAGTAGGCAGCAGCTAGAGCAACATGATGAGCAGTGCCCATCTCGGATTTACAAACCGTTAGTTTGGATGGATCCAGCAGCAGGTCCGTGAGATTTCTAATTCAACCCCTTCCCCACCAATTAGCAGTGTATCAAGAGCAATAGATAAAAAGTACAGCCAAGTGTGGAGGAGAACCCTCTTTACATAGAGTCATAAAGATGAACACAGAAACAGAACCTTCGGTCCAATTCGTCCTTGCCAACCAAGTATCCTAAATTAATCTAGTCCCATTTGTCAGCATTTAACCTGTATTCCTCTAAACCCTTCCTATTCATCTATCCAGCCAGATGCCTTTTAAGTGTTGTTTTAGCAGCGTCCACCACCTCCTCTGGCAGCTTATTCCATACATGCATCACCCTCTGCATAAAAAGATTGCCACTTCAGCGTCTTTTAAATTTCTGCCCGCTCACCTTAAACCTACGCCCCCTAATTTTGGACTCCTCTACCCTGGGGAAAAGACTTGGCTATTCATCCTATCCACGCCCTTAATGATTTTATAAACTTCTAGAAGGTCACCCCTCAGCCTCCAACACTCCAGGGAAAATAGCCCAAGCCTATTCAGCCTCTCCCTAAAGCTCAAACCCTCCAACCCTGGCAACATCCTTGTAAATCTTTTCTGAACCCTTTCAAGTTTCACAACATCTTTCCTAAAGCAGGGAGACCAGAATTGAATGCATTTTTCCAAAAATGGTCTAACTAATGTCCTTTACAGTTGCAACATGTCACCCCAATGCCTATACTCAATGCACTACATGTCTACAGAAAGCAATTACCTCTTGTACTTTATACAAAAACAAAGTACAAATTCCTCTAGTAAGGTCATTGTAGCCTGGGGAGCCAGAAAGGTGTCTTAATATCCATACAAAGCTCATGATTTCAGATCCACACTGCGTAAAGACCGCCATAATAATTGAAGCACCACGGGGTTGTCCAGATAACAGATCACGAGGAAGAGTGGTCCACAAGCAGAAGGTAGACCATCAAAATGTCCAAATGAAAGACAGAACACCAGGCACTCCAAAATGGAGCCAAAGACAACGCAGTAGAGAGTGTGTCAGAGCAGCCTATATAGGAAATCTCTCCCCAAATGAGAAGACTCAGGGGGAATATCCAAGAGATGCTTCAAGTTATTATGCATGGAGTACTTGTGGCTCTCTGGTGATGCAAAAACCAGTCCAAAGAGGATCAACATCCACTCTTCATAGACCTGGCAAAATCAGCACCAAGTAGGATGTTCAATGCTTGAATCACTTCAACCATACAGCAGACAAAGGGCCAGTACATCCAATGCCAAGCTGCTGTCATTGCACTTTACTCACCTTGCATCAGTACATCCCCAATTCAGGTTTGAGTCACACTACACACTCGGTGCTCTGCCAGCCCACCTAACCGGGTTGTTGTTTGCGGTCATGGCTGCATCAGGAGAGGCACCATCTCAGATAGAGAAGTGCATGTGCTTGAGGTTACCAAGTTCCAGGCCCCTAAAAGATCATGATAAAAGACAGGGTGTCCTGTAATGTACACTCATTTGGGACTGGGTAGGGTGGAGGGGTAGTGCTGTCAAGTCTCAGTTCCATTTGTCTTTATGTCCAGTATCACCAACAGCCAGAATGAAACAGGATGTCACAGCGTATGGGCACTAAACATCATAATATTTCACAATCAAAATTTACTACCTCAACATTTTACTGAAACCCTGCATGTACACAGATTTGCTTACAATAAGTGTTCTCCAAGAAAAATTGCCAACTAGTCATGACTGGCTTTGCTGCAATTATCCACATGCAAAAGTTTTGATGTAAACTACTAGATTACATCTTCCATGTCAGTTTAAACATTAACTACAATGCTGCAACCAAGTATTGTAAGTTATTACAAGTTAATTGGAAGTTAATTATAAGTTTCAGCAAAAAATCCACAAAAAATTTCAATTCACATCTACAGCACATTTTTTTCTACGTCAAGTAAATACATAAATGCATTGATGTACAAATATGAACACTGAAGTAATTTGACTAACCTTTTGCCTTTTTATATATTTAACCAGACATGCAATCAGCCACATCTGGATGAGCTACATGCGACTAGTCGCTAACAGAGAGGGGAAAATTAACAAAAGGAGGAGTTGCTCAGGCATGTTGTGACATTCTCTCTCTCAATGCGCTTACTGATCCTGTACTTTCAATAGTACTCACCTGGTGGGATGGTGAAACCAGAGGCAAGCTGCACTGATGGTGGTTGCTGTGAGCGAATGATAAGCTGAGGGGTTACAATGCGTTGGGGTGCCCCTAAGCCAGTACGAAGCTGTGACTGAGTGGCTGATACTTGGACGATGCCAGGGGCAGACGAGATGACTTTCGTGATTCCGACATGAGGTTGTGTGATCATATTGACTGCAGATTTTGCCACTGCATTGATGCTGACCAGGGCGCTGGCTACAGGGAGAGAGCTGGTAACTGTATATTGCAACTGATTACTCAGTGTGTTGGTCACTGTAATAGGAGCAGCTGTGTTATTTAATGGACTAAGAGAAACAGGCTGAGATTGAGTGTGCAGAACAAGCTTCGTCTGTGACGTGGAGTCTGTATTGGTGGCTGTGTGACTACTGTATTGGTGACTAGTGACAGCAGCAACCTGATTAGCCAATTGTGTTATTATTGCACCTTGATGGATGCCTGTCTTTTCTCCAACTTGCACCAATCCTGGTGGATTCACATCGTTGAAGGGGGCAATTCCATTCTGTGACAGCGCAGTGCCCAAAACATTGCTGGCAATCACAGTATGCATTGGTGGTCTTGTCAATGTAATAGTGGGGGTACTAGTACTACCCATCAGGACGCTGTCTTGAGACACAGAAACGAACTGAGGATTAAGAGAACCGTTTTGAGATGAGTTGCAAGGTGTGTTGATGCTGCTGGCATTGGAGCCAAAAGTGCTGGCAGCCCCAGAAGTGGGGAGATGGTTACAAGTCCCAGAGGCAGTCGCAGTGGAGAAGTGCAAAGCAGCAGTCACAGCAGGGGAGCTGCAATCTGCTACCACCCCATTGACAGCCTGAGGTGGGGGTCCGGGAGCCTTCTGGGGTGCGGGCAGGTGGCTCGACACCGGATATTCGCCTGTCGTTAGGACGGCCAAGGGAGGGACTCTCCCCCCAGGGTCAGTGGTAGCCTGAGAGGGCGCAGGGCTGCTGGTGCTGGGGGAGGGGGGTGGCGGTGGCCGGGAGGGCTGAAAGAGGCGGCCGGTCCCCGCACCCGAAGCCCGGGCTCCGGCCGCTGAGGTGTCCGAGGAGGGGATGCTGGTGGCGGGAGGTGGCGGGAGCTCGCTGGCAGAGGCTGCACGCTGATTAATTCCGGCAGCTGCTTCCTGCCCGAAGCCAGGGGCCGGGGCCGGAGCCGGCGTCACAGCGGGAGCCGCCGCTTTCTCCCCGAGCGGCGATGGCGCCATCCTGCCGGCTCGCCGTTGTCCCTCCCCCGGGACGCTGCCTCCCGCTGGGCCTGGCCTCCCCTCTCCGGGCAGCATTGCCCGGCCTGCCAGCTGCGACTCCAGCGATCCCACCAGATCGCTGACCGCCTTCTCGTCCACCTCTGACAGGAACAGCTCCTCCAGCGGGTCCGAGCCCGCCGCCATCTTCCTCCGGGGCCCGGCCACGCATGCGCTAATGCACTCCCGCCCCCTTTTTGCCAGCCGCGCAGAGCAGGGCGGGAAAGCCCCTGAGCCAGACTCTGAGTAGTGCAGAGTAACACTGGGTGAGAGTAATAAAACAGTTGGTGGGGAGTAATGGGAAACAGTCGGAGTAATAGGATAGAGGATGGGTGAAATAACTCCACAGAGGACGGTATCCCATCACCAAGTCACCCTTTATTTACACATGAAGACTCCTTGACTCTCGTACTGCCTCTCTTCAGAATCAGCTCTCAGAGTACCAACATCTCTGAAACTCCTGCTTATATCTGTCAGCTAGGTCTCCCTGATTGGACCAGATTTACAAACCAAGCAGGGAACTCATATTCTATAACGTCCAACTGTCTGACCTTGTTACAATCACTACAGTGGGAAGTAATAGGTCAGAGGGTGTGAGTATTAGAGAAGAAGGTGGGGAGTAAGAGGGAGAGGGTGGATTTAATAGGGAAAGAGTGGGAAAAATGGGGAGAGGCAAGAATAATAGGGAGAGGGTAGAGAGTAACAGGGAAATATTGGGATTAATAGGACAGAGGTGAGAACAATTGGACAGAGGCCAAGGAGTAATAGGGCAGAAAAGGCATAAAAAGGAGAAGATGGGGAGTAATGGAGGGGTAATAATAGGGAGAGGGTTTGAGTAATAGGGCAGAGGGAGTAAAATGTCAGAGGGTTGGAAGTAATAGGACAGAAGGTGGGAAGTAACAGAGAAAGAGTGGAAGTAACAGGTCAGAGAGTGGGAATAATTGCACAGAAGGTGGGAGTAATAAGGAAAAGGTAGGGAGTAATGAGGAGACGGTATGAGTAATAAGAGACTGGGCAGTAAAGGGAAAGAGTGGGGAGTAATAGGACAGAGGGTTGGAAGTAATAGAACAGAGGGTAGAGAGTAATAGGAAGAGTGTGAGAGCAATAGAACAGTGTAGGTAGTAATAGGATCAAGTATAGTAATAGGACAGAGGGTGCAAAGTAATAGAACAGAGGGTGTGAGTAACAGGTCAGAGGGTAGGGATTAGTGGGGAGAGTGTGGGAGTAACAGGACAGAGAATGGGGATTAATAGGGAGAGGGTAATATGGACGGGGGATTAATAGGGAGAGAGTGGAAGTAATATGGAGAGTGGGATTACTAAGGAGAGGGTAGGGAGTAATAGGGAGTGAGTATGGATTAATAGGGAAAGAGCAGGAGTAATTGGGAGACGATAAGAGTAATACGGCACAGGTTGTGAGTAGTGGGGAAACGGTTATGAATAACAGGACAAAGGATGTGAGTAATAGCATAGAGGATGGGAGTATAAGGGACATGGTGGAAATAATAGGTGGTGGAGTAACAGGATGGAGGGCAAGGAGTAATAGGGAGAAGATAGGAAAATTAGGGAGAATGTGGGAGCAATAGACCAGAGGGTGGGGAGCAATAAGATAGAGGGTAATGGCTAGGAGATAATAGGAGTGTGGTAAATTGTGGGAGTTGTGAGGAATTGGGTGGAGAGTAATAAGTCAGAGTGACACAGTAATAAAGACAAAGGAACTTGAGGGAAATGAGTAATAGGGACCACAAGTATAGGGGACTGGTAATAACGGAACAGGGGGAGTAATGGGCCAGTGAGTAATAGAGAAAGGATATGTTTGGAAATTATACAGGTAGAGAGTATCAGGAATAAAGGTAAAATCACCATTAGGCTGCTATCCTACAAGAGAACAATGACTGGAGGTGAGTTTGACTTGAGAGTCACCATGCTTCAGGTGAGGTTGAGAAGGATGACCTTCATGGTGACCTCAGCCGATACGGGAATCAAGGGTTATGGGGAAAGGACAGGAAAATGGATGAGAGGAATGTCTGATCAGCCACGATCCTTTTGAATGATAGAGCAGGATCGAAGGGCGGAACAACCTACTCCTGTTCATATTTCTTATGGGAATTGAACTCCCTTGTAATAGGAATAGAGACTAATGGGAGTGTTGAGCTGGGAATCATCAAGATAGCAGTAAACATGACAAGGAATAAGAGGGAAGGAAGGCAAAGGGAATAATCCTGGGGAGTGACAGTGACACAGAGTAATAGTGACTCAGCGTAGGGACAGGGATTAATGTGACAAAGAGGACTGAGGAATAATCAAAGGAGTAATATCATTTGAGAAAGCTTTTGGAAGACATTAGAAGAACAAGAAGTTTAAATTAGAGGCAGTAGGAACTGCTGATGCTGGAGTCTGAGATAATAAGGTGTGGAGCTGGATGAACACAGTAGGCCAGGCAGCATCAGAGGAGCAGGAAAGCTGACGTTTCAGGTCTGGACCCTTCTTCAGAAATTAGAGGCATTGCTCGACCAGGAGCTGACTTGTGTTGGGGGATTGTTGAACTCTGACTTTGCAAGGAGCAAGGAGGGGTGAACGATTTGTCCCCTCAAGCCTTCTTCACCATTCAATAAAATCATGGCTGATCTGATTGTGGCCTCCACTCCACATTCCTACCTACCTCCAAAAATTCTTGAGCCTAGTTAATCAACCTGTGCCCTGAAGGAAAACATTCCCACTGTTACATTCCATGCAGTAAACAATAGTATTCCATTAGCCTTCTGAATCTCTTACAGTGCACATATTTCTGCATACTAACATTGTGATTCATGTACCAGTGTGCTCAGATCCCCCTGTACCACTGAGGTCTATCTCTATTTAAATAATATTCTGTTTTTCCATTCTTCCTGCCAAAGTGAACAAAGTTCTTATTTTCCTACAAGGTACTACCATCCGCCAAATTTCTGCACACTCACATAATCTGTCCACACTACTTCACTTCCTCTTTATGTCCTCTTCACAACTTTTCATACCTACTTTTGTAATCATCCTAATGAAGCCTAAAGCTGAAACCATCAGGTTGGTTTGGTGAGATGGATAGTTCTCAATTTCGTAATATTAGGCAAATGATAAGCTTCATCATGAGGCAGGCAACCAATTCTGTAGAGATAACATCTTCAGGAATAGATGTTTGAAGAATGTTTAACTGTTTGCAAACCTCAGCATTGCAAATCACAACACACATTTGTGTCATTTGTGTAAGTTGTTGTAATGATTATGTTTACACTCATTTACATTCTTCTCCCTTCACAATGAAAAATCACAACCAAAACAATTCCCCTCATTCATCTTCCAGTTAGTAATGACATTTAGTTCGGAAACACATAAGTTGTGAAGCTGTGAGATTGTTTTCATCATCTCCCCTCCCCCTACCGCATCCCAAAACCAGCCCAGCTCGTCCCCGCCTCCCTAACCTGTTCTTCCTCCCACCTATCCCCTCCTCCCACCTCAAGCCCCACCCCCATTTCCTACCTACTAACCTCATCCCACCCCCTTGACCTGTCCGTCCTCCCTGGACTGACCTATCTCCTCCCTACCTCCCCACCTCTACTCACCTTTACTGGCTCCATCCCCGCCTCTTTGACCTGTCTGTTTCCTCTCCACCTATCTTCTCCTCTATCCATCTTCTATCCACCTCCCCCCTCTCTCCCTATTTATTTCAGAACCCCCTTCCCCTCCCCCATTTCTGATGAAGGGTCTAGGCTTGAAACGTCAGCTTTCCTGCTCCTATGATGCTGCTTGGCCTGCTGTGTTCATCCAGCTCTACACCTTGTTATCTCAGATTGTTTTCATCATTATAATAGTGGTGCATTCACTAGCTTGTATTGCCTTGAGTATAGAAGATTAAGGGGTGATCAATTGGGCTGTTCAGAATTTTAAATGGATTTGATAGGATGGGCAACACTTCCTCTGATGGAGGAGTCCAAAAGAATGATGTATATCAATATAGCACTGACTCTTTGAAACAAAATCAGGCTGAGCATTTTTTTCACTCTAATGAGAAAGGAAATCTGGAACTCTCTCTGACCCAAACACCTGTGGATTTCTGGCAATTAACATTTGCATGGCTGAGATATTTTTGTCAGCTGACACAGAAAATTCTGGTTTTTTGTCAAATGTCTGGTGATCTGTGCTGTTCTTTTTGGGATTGATACTTTTGTAGTGCTCCTGTGAAGTGCCTTGGAATCTTTTAAAATGTTGAAGACACTAAATAAATAAAAACATGGTGTACTTCTCTTAATGTTGTCAAGGAATATGGAGTATGACAGGTAGACTTTCTCCCTCATCATTTGCTGTAGGCCCTGTGTAGCAACAGGATCGGTTCTGGTTTGGCCATCTCAATTATTAATGGCGCTATCAAGCTATTCCTGAAATCCATCTTTATTGATCTTAATACCAGAGGAAAAGTTGGACCAGCTAGGCTTGGATCTGCTGGAGTATGAAAGAGTAAGAGGTGACTTGAATGAATCATATATGCTCCTGAGGAAGCTTGACAGGATGAATGTTCCAGGACGTTTTGTCTTGTGGGAGAGTTTAGAACTAGGGGATCACCACTTAAACACTATTGGACAACATTTTTCTTGAGAGTGAGCTGTAAGTTTTGGAATTCTGTTACTCAAAAGGTCATGGAAGCAAAGTCCTTGAGTATGTGTAAGGCAGAAGTGGATAGCTTCCAGTAAGCAAGAGAGGTGAAAGGTTATTCCGGGTGGCAGAAATGTGGAGTTTGGGTTACAATCACATCAGCCACCATCCGTTTAAATAGCACAGCAGGCTCCAGGTATCAAATGGCCGACTGTATTTTTATATTCACATCCCCATCAGGAGTACTTTATGTCATAGAGTCACAGAGGTCTACAATACAGAAAAATATACTTCAGCTCATCGCGTCTGCATAAGTCGAAAACAACCACCTAACAATTCTAATCCCATTTTCCAGCACTTGACCCATAGGCTTGGATGCCTTGGCATCACAAATGCTCATCTAAATACTTCTTCAGTGTTATGAGGATTTCTGCCTCTACCATCCTTGCAGACAGTGAGCTGAAAATGTTTTTTCCTCACATCTCCCCTAAACCTGCTGTCCCCGGTCATTGATCTCTCCATCAAGGGGAGAAATTTCTTCCTGTCTACCCTATCTATACCCTCATAATCTTACACATCTCAATTATGGGATTTCAAGACAAGAGGGCATATTTTTAAGGTGAGAGGAGAGAGATTTAAAAAAGACATGAAGGGCAGAATTTTTAAACAGAGGGTGGTTCACGTGTGGAATGAACTTCCTGAAGATGTGGTGGACATGCGCACAGTTACAACGTTTAAAAGACACTTAGTTAAGTACATGAACAGGAAAGGTTTGAAGTGATATGGGCCAGGAGCAGACAGGTGGGACTAGTTTAGTTTGAGATTATGTTCAGCATCCATTCATTGGACCGAAGGGTCTGTTTCTGTGCCATATGGCTCTATGACTATGACACTCAATCTCCTCTCCATCTCCTTTGCTCCAGTCTGTCCAATCTGTCTTCAAATTTGAAACTCTCCAGCCCAGATAACATCCTGGTAAATCTCCTCTGCACCCACTCTAGTGCTATCATATCCCTCCCAAAATGTGGATTCCAGAACAGCAGTATTCTAGCTGTGGCCTAACCAACATTTTACACAGTTCCAGCATAAACTCCCTCCTCTTAAACACTATGCTTCAACTAATAAATATGAGTATACCATATACCTTCTTCACCATAAAGACATACAGCATAGAAACAGGCCCTTTGGCGTACTATGTAAATGCCACCAACAAATACCAATTTTGTGTTCCTGAGTAATCCCATTTACATGCACTTGGTCCATGGCCTATTATGCCCAACACTTAAGTACTCATCCAGATGATTCTTAAATGTTGTGAGAGTATTTGTCTCCATCACCCTCTCAGGCAGCACATTCCATATTTCTACCACCCTCTGGGCATAAAAATTCTTCCTCAGATCTCCTCTCAACTACTTGCTCCTCCCATTAAACTTATGCCCTCTGGTCTTAGACACATCTGTCATATGGAAGAGATTCTCATGATCTGTTCTGTCTATGTTTCTCATAATTTTGTATACCTCAATCAGATTACCCAGCCCCCCAACCTCCTCTGCTCCAAGGAAAACAAACCCAGCCTATTCAGTCTCTCCTCATAACTGAGACTTTTCATGCTAGACAACATCCTGGTGAATTTCCTCTGCACCTTCTCCATTGGCGTATTGTAAAATTCTTCCCATTCTTCTGATATATTCCCTTTGTTTTAATCTCATACAATTCTGAACTTCCTTTGTTAGCTGTAGTTGACTGATCATTTTTGAGGTTTGGCACGTTGAGGGAATGTACAGTTGCTGCAAGATATGTAATCATTCCTTAAAGACTATCCATTGTCTATGTACAGTCATGTCTTTAAATGTATTTTCCCATTCCCCCACCATCAATTTGTGCCTAACTTTATTTTCTTGTTAAAATTGAATACCCTTGCTTCAAATGAAACGTCCTCACTTTTAAACATAAAGCAAAATTCAATATTATTGTGGTCACTCATCCCTAAATAATTCTTTTCGAACAAAATTGAACTAGTTCTGACTTTAAGTTACAATAGATAAGGCCTAATCTAACTTTTTTTGTATGTGCAGGCATATTGTTGTCTGGCCTGGTGTAGCATGATCTTCATTGCTATTTATACTCAGTGATGCCCAGATCCATTATATCATCGGAAAGTTGCTCCGGGGTCTTTAAGCCCCTAAATCACAAAGGATATCAAAATGTAGTTTGCAAATCCAGAAGTTGTTATTTTTGTTATTATTTGTATAGAAATGCAAATATTATGTGTGTACTTCAAAATTTTTGGTAAAATGCCGACTAGGTTTAGAAATAAAACTAAATCGTGGAGCTGCTCCCAGCTCTCACTTCAGATTTCCTCAATGATTTGAGAAGTTAACTTTTCAAGCAATGTTTTTGAGTTAGTTTTGGAGAGTTATGAGGTGCAAGCTTCCGGGAGAGATGCTTGTTCGCATCTTTTAAGATTTCATTCTGCAGAGAGTGGGACTGGTGTCGTACAGAGAGAGAAAGAGAAGGAAAAGGCTGGCTGAGTGGGGGGAAGGGCCTAGCCACTGGAATATGAAGGCAGCCATGTTGGCTGCTGCCTGAGTGAACGTCACGGAGCAGGGGTAGGGGGTGGACAGAGAAAAAGAATAGGCCGGAGCGGGACGGTAGAGGCAATCCGCGTTCATCCGCTGCCTCAGCTCCTTCGTATAGTGGTAGGCACTGCACAGCTACCATCATGAGTGGGGGTACTCCTTACATCGGCAGTAAAATCAGCCTGATCTCCAAGGCAGAGATCCGATATGAGGGGATTTTGTACACCATCGACACCGAGAACTCCACCGTCGCTTTAGCCAAAGGTAAATGGCGTAGAGGCGCCGGGCCTAAGAATATGACCCCATCCCCTGTGAATAACTCTTGTCTATAATAATCCCTCACATTTCGACATTCTTATCGCGAAAGAAACACAATTTGTTATTTAAACGTCGGGCAGTTTATCCCTTGTAAAAAAAAACTAAAATGGCGGGATTTGTCAACAAGAGCTTCTGTTCTCTTAAGTGTATTTAATTGTATTTCAATCTGAGCTTTAATTTGGCTGTTTTCTTACTTTCTTGGGGAGGGGGTGGGGAATGTGAATTTTACCAATATATTCTAATTGGATGTGGTAAAGAAAGTGGGGAGTGGTCGGTGGTTATAAAGACAACCTGCTACTCACATCATAAACAAAAATAACTAAGACATTTCGTTTTAATATTTCTTTGTATAACTCACTGCTTTTAAAATGAATGGTTCCTAAATCAATCCGATTTGTTCGTCAAATCAGATACGGTGTTGCTCCCTGCAGTTCGTTGTCCCGAGGAGTCTCCGCTTTTGTGGTTTTCATCCTCAATTTAGTGTTTGTAATGTTTATGTTGCAGTGTTTTCCAACCAAATTGTTATATAGAAAATTCGATGATAACTTTTTTTCAAATGTTAGTTGCAGTAACTTTCATTTGTCTAGTGATAATGAAGCAATATTCTAATTGCTATTTAGATTATCTCTGGACTACTTCGAAGTTGCAAATCTTTAACGTACAGAAGAATTTCATGTTTGAGGTTATTTTTTGTCTAGTTATTGGCAGGTAACGTGCTATCCAATTCCCCCTTTTCTTGGAAGTAAACCCCAAAATAATTAGATTTTAATTAATCTGTGAAGATGTTGGATTGACTTGAGAAGGTAATTTTCTGAGCAAGTGTTTTAGCTTGAGGTATGATAATAGTTCATTCCAAATAGCATTGATTTGTCTGATTACTTGGGTTAAATTGGCATCTGTCTTTCTATTGAGAGGATTTAGTTCAATTGTGACAGTCTTCCAGTAGACTAGAAAATCTAAAACACTTCATTCTGCAATGTCTAACATGATGTGATTTTTGTGTTTGTGTTGCTTACAATGATTTTGTATAATGTGTATTCTTCAATAAGGCTTTACTTTGACTACCTATCATTGGGTCTTTTAAGAGTTGGAAATTGGTGACTCCTGAGGAATTTATCCATGTGTTGTGGTGCCCACTACAAATAATTAGTCTAGAACAATTTCCTAAGTTTATAAATGTAGGAAAGAAGAGATTCTGTCTGTGGCAGCCCTCTGTTCAAACAATTTAACAAGTTTCATTTTTTTTGTTCATTCCCTGTAGCCCTGCAGATTTTGTCTCTCTAGATGTTCATCTAATTTCTTTTTAAATCCATTATGGAATCTGCTTTTTCCATCTTTTCTGGCATTGCATTCCAGATCACATCCACTTGCTGAATACAACAAAAATAATTCTTGGCACTTTTGGCCTTTTGTAATCTCCTTAAATTTGTTTCCCCCAGTTCTTAACCTTCTTGAACATGGGAACAATTTCTTTCTGCACTGAGTTCGTGTGTCGTGACTTGGAGCAATTCAATCAAATCTCTTCTTAATCGTTACTTCTCAAAAGGGGAGAACGACCCCAGTTTCACCAATCTAAACTTGTAACTGGTCCCTGGAATGAGAAGCTTTGTAGATCTACCTCACTCATTCCAAAGTCTTCCTAAGTCAGGTGCTCAGAAAGAAAACATTTAATCTAGCTCATCTGGTGTATTGTGTACTATCAGTTGAACAAAATGACCTTGCTTTGGTACACTGTATGATTCTGTTTACTGATGTCTGTAAGCAAGACCCAAAATTGTCCAGGATTAGAGTTGATACATGGGAATCCTTTCTGCTGACTGAAATGACTGGAGACCAGAAGTCCCTAAAGGATGTGGGAAAAGGCAGAAGATAAAAGAAATGACTGGCAGAAAAGAGCATCTGCCGGAAGGAAAAAAAAGTGACATCCGTGAATCCCACGCTAACGTTATTATTCTGTGCTGGCTGCAGAAGGTATTGCTGCTTGGAAGTTGACCTCTTTGACAACAGACTATGTTCACACCAATGACATATGACTGGGGTACAGTCCGCTGTGTTTCAAAATGCATGGGTGCCATTAATGTCTTTTCCATGTGATTTCTAACTCTTTCTCAATGATAATACATGGATTTATAGTACAGAAATCATCTATTCTGGCCAGTTTTTGAATGCCACAGAGGTTTAGAATGATTGAGGATAGTATCATGAAAGGTACCACAGAACCTCTACAGTGAAAGCAGGACATTTGCCCCATCAAGTTCACGTTAACCCTCTGAAGAGCGTCCCACTCAAACTCAAACCCAAACCCAACCCCTACCCTATTCCTGTAACCCTGCACTTCCCATGGCTAATCCACCTAGCCTGCTCATCCCTGAACACTATGGACAATTTAGCATGGCCATTCCACCTAACCTGCTCAGCTTTGGACTGGGAGGAGGAAACTGGAATGCGTCTGGAGGAAACCCATGTGGACACGGAGAGAATGTGCAAACTCCACACAGACGGTAATCCGAGGATGGAATTGAACCTGGGTCACTGGTGCTGTGAGGCAACAGTGCTAACCGCTGCACCACCCATTTTCTTCCACTTTACGTCATCTTGCCCCAACGTCATATCTTTAAATTGTTTTGTCCCTTGTACTTGCCCATTTTCCCAGAAATGTGTATTAAGGAAACCTGTACCTGCCTTGGAGATGAAGGGCAGAGATTCACAAAAGTTTTTTGTTTATTCATTTGTGGGATGTGTGCATCACTGACTGGCTAGCATTTGTTGCTTGCCCCTAGTTGCCCTTGAGGGTGGTGGTGAGTTGCCTTCTTGAACTACCATGGTCCACCTGTTGTGGGTTGACCCACAATGCTATTAGGGTGGGAATTCCAGGATTTAAACCCAGCAACAGTGAAGGAACAACGATACATTTCCAAGAGGATAGTGAGTGGCTTGAAGGTGAACTTATGTGGTGGTGTTTCTGTATACCTGCTGCCTTTGTCCTTCTAGATGGAAATGGTCGTAGGTTTGGAAGGTGCTGTCTGAGGATCTTTGGCGAATTTCTGCAGTGCATCTTGTAGATAGTACACACTGCTGCTACTGAGTGTTGGTGGTGGAGGGAGTGGATGCTTGTGGATAAAGTGCCAATCAAGCGGGGACTGTTTTGTCCTGGGTGGTGTCAAGCTTCTGGAGTGTTGCTGGAGCTGCACTCATCCAGGCAAGTGGGGAGTGTTCCATCACGCTCCTGACTTGTGCCTTGTAGACAGTGTACAGGCTTTGAGGAGTCAGGAGGTGAGTTACTTGCCACAGTATTCCTAGCCTCTGACCTGCTCTCGTAGCCACTGTGTTTATGTGGTGAGACCAGTTGAGTTTTTGGTAAATGATAACCCCCAGGGTGTAGATAGTGGGGGATTCAGTGATGGTAACACAGCTGAATGCTAAGGGATGGTGTTTAGATTGTCTCTTAGTGATGATCATAGCCTGGCATTTGTTGATGCAAATGTTACTTGCCACTTCTCAGCCCAAGCCTGGACATTGTCGAAATCTTGTTGCATTTTGAGCATGGACTGCTTCAGTATCTGAGGAGTCACGAATGGTGCCAAACATTGTGCAGTCATCGGTGGATATCCCCATTTCTGACCTTATGATGGAGGGAAGGTCATTGAAGCAGCTGAAGATGGTTTAGCCTAGGACACCACCCTGAGGATCTCCTGCAGAGATGTCTTGGAGCCAAGAAAACTGACCTTCAAAGATCAGACCATCTTCTTATGTGTCCGGTGTGACTCCAACCAGTGGAGAGTTTGCCCCCTTGGTATAAAGACTTGTGTTCCAGTCTTGATTCCAGTTCAGCTAGGGCTCCTTGTTGCCGTTCAGTCGAATACAACATTGATGTCAAGGCCTGTCATTCTCATCTTACCTCACCCCTGGAGTTCAGCTCTCTTTTTGTGCCTGTTTGGATCAAGGCTGTAATGAGGTCCGGAGCTGAGTGGCCCTGGTGGAACCCAAACTGGGCGTTGTTGACCAGGTGCTGCTTGATAGCACTGATGACACCTTCCAACACTTTACTGATGATTGAAAGTAGACTGGAGTGAGAATTGGCTAGGTTGGATTTGTCCTGCTTTTTCTGTACAGGACACACTTGGGCAATTTTCCACATTGTCAGGTAGATGCCAGTGTTGTCACTGTACTGGAGCAGCAAGTTCTGGAACACAAGTCTTCAGTACTATTGTAGGAACGTTGTCAGGGCCCGTATCCTTTGTATTATCCAGTGTCTCCACCGTTTCTTGATATCACTTGGAATGAATTGAATTGGCTGAAGACTGGTATCTGTAATGCTGGGGATGACTGGAGGAGGCCGACATGGATCATCCACTCGCCACTTCTGGCTGAATATTGATGTGAATGCTTCAGCCTTACCTTTTGCATTGATTTGCTGGGCTCTTCCATCATCGGGGATGGGGATATTTGTGGAGCCGCCTCCTTCAGTGAGTTGTTTAATTGTCCACCACCATTTACGACTGGATGTGGCGGGACTGCAGAGCTTAGATCTGATCCGTTGGATGTGGGATCGCTCAGCTCTGTCTGTTACTTGCTGCTTATGTTGTTTGGCATGCAAGTAGTCCTGTTTGGTGGCCTTGACCAGGTTGACCTCTCATCTTCAGGCATGCCTGGTGCTGCTGCTGGTACACCCTCCTGCACTCTCCATTGAACTAGGGTTGATTGGGGGATGTGTCGGGCTACGAGGTTACAGATTGCTTGATCGTTCACAGCGCCTCGTGGATGCCTAGTCTTGAGTTGCTAGATCTGTGTGAAGTCTGTCCCATTTAGCACGGTGATAGTGCCACACAACACGATGGAGATCGTTCACAATGTGAAGGCAAGACTTCGTCTCCACAAGGACTGTGTGATGGTCACTGTTACCGATACTGTCATGGACAGATGCATCTGCACCTGGCAGATTAGTA